TAGTGGATGTAGAATACTTAGAACTATCCAGGAAACCAAGTTTGAATGTTTGAAATCGAAATCTTCGGACGAAAAACCTAATTTTTTGGCGTATTTTTGCCAAAAAACAAAATTACGAGGAAATTGAACTCTCCCCAGTTCTTTTTTGAAAGTCACAGCGCGCGAACTTCTACCGTGCGCCATAATACTGAAGCTTAGGGATTGCAAAGACTAAAATATTCACTAGCCCATAGCCTATATCTAACCATTATACCATTTCTTAGTATGCACTCGGGATACAAGTCATTCACAGTTTGGTATCCAAAACCAAATTTTTGGTATCGTGTGGATATCGGGATACTGCAAATTTCAGACCCTGCACTCCAGTATAGTATTCGTTTACCAGACATTCTGGAAACCCTTTGCAATCAAACCCAGATATTCGTCTTTGGCAAATTTTCATCCAAATGCATGATGAAGTTGTCTCAGTGGACCATATAAACAGCCCTTAATACAGTACTGGTATCTATGCAGCAGTTGTATAAATATTTCATTACATAAGAAGGGATGAACTGATGATTTGTAATATCAAGAGTCATTGTTTATAATAATTACAATTGTTTTCAGGGTTGCGAAGGGAGACATCAGTCTTGATGAGCTCAAAGTGTTGGCTAAAGAGTTTTAAATCAATTAGACCTATTCAAGGGATAATCTTTTCTTTCTTTGGAAAACCATGGGAGATTATAATTGCAAAATGGATTACACGAAGTCTTTCAGTCAGCCTACAAGTCATTTCATAGCACAGAGACATCTCTATTAAGGGTGTAAAATCATATTTTGCAGTCTTTGGACAAGTAGCAAGCGGCCATCCTCGTTCTTCTTGATTTGTCTGCTGCATTCGACACCATTGGGCACGAGATTTTTTTATCTAGATTGGCTGAACGATTCGGAATCAGTGGAAATGTTCTTGCTTGGTTTAAATCGTACTTGTCATCTCGTAGTCAGTTTGTCAATATCAATGGCACTTATTCTTCCACCCACAATCTCAAATATGGAGTTCCACAAGGTTCTGTCCTCGGCCCAATTCTCTATTTGCTTTATACTGCCCCTGTGGCTGATATCATTAGGAGGTATGATCTTGATTATCATATATATGCTGATGATATTCAGCTATATGTGTCTTTTGAGGCGGATAGTGACTTCGACTTGGTGAAGGCTCGTATTGAAAACTCTATAGCAGAAATACGCCGGTGGATGCCCTTTATTGGATTAAAGATCAATGATGATAAAACAATATCAATTCTTATGCACTCGAAGTTTTGGTCTTGTCCTTCACTCCGCGATTCAATCAAAGTTGGAAATGGCTTGATTCCTTTTTCGGGTTCGGCTGCCAATCTTGGTGTGATTATGGATGAGACACTCTCCTATGATGATCATGCATATGTTAAGAAAGTTTTCAAGTCCTCATTCTTTCATTTGAGGAATATTTCTAGAATTCGAAAATATTTGCCAAAAAAATCAGTGGAGGTCATAATCCATGCCTTGATAACAACGAAGTTGGACTACTGTAATTCTCTCATGTATGGCTTGCCTAAACGTCTTCTTTCGAAGCTGCAATCAGTCCAAAATTCGGCTGCTCGGATTTTTACCTTGTCTCGGAATTATGATCATATCACACCATTCTTAATTCAATTACATTGGCTTTCTGTTCACTACCGAATCGTTTTTAAAATTCTTCTATTGGTTTATAAGTCAATGAACGGAGCCAACCTCGTTCCCAGGGTTTTTTTAGAACGGCGCGAGGCGAAGGAAAGACCCTGGTTTCGGCTGGTCACGTGTCACTCAGATTCTGGGTGATAAATTAAAATGATACTTTGGGCAGGGTGTGAGAGGAGCGTGTTTGTCGCGTTTGTAACAATATTTGCAATTTTGTGTGATGAAATTTAAATTTGCAACAAGAAATCGTGAAGAGAACTGCAATTAAAAATTAATATTTATCGTGATGTGACTAGTACTTTCTGCTCTATAATCTAGTGTCGAGTTACAATTCAAGCAAGATTTCAACTTACAAAGAAAGCACGCCTGGGCGGCGTGGCAATATTAAGCCTACAAGAAAATTCATATCTCTAGACCGACCAATGTGGTTTATATTTATTTAACTGTTAGTATTAAAGTATATCCTGATACTCGGACCAAAAGAATATATTTATTGATGAGATGTGGAATTGGAACGAAATAGCGAGATCTTTTGATTTCCGACATATCACCAAGACGCCAACTGTATCGAGATTGTTGATTATAAAGGCCTTATCACAAAACTTAAATCCCGTCAAAAGACTATAAAATTTCCTGCAAGATCTCAACGATCATGGTATATGTCAAAGTCTAGCTGTCTGTTGAAAATCTACGGTATTACAGTAAAGTCATACATCAAAGATAAGTCAAACGACAATATATTTGTCTTACTGTTTACTACTGTGTTTATACCACATTTATAAATTTTATTAACAGCTTTCGTTTTGACACAAGCTTTAATTTTCTGCTTTATATATATTCTTAATAATACAAGTGAGATTTAAATTTTTTTGCTTTGTGAAATAGAATACCGTTATTTTTTAATGGGCAGCTTGTATCGTCTCTATCATATCCAGGATGTGCTCCATATCCATGTATCCGCTGTATGTGCTCCAAAACTATGGAACAAACTTCCACACAGTTTGCGAAAAGCATCCTGTATACCGACTTTTAAAAAGGATCTCAAAACGTATCTTTTTCAACTTTTTATTAATAATAGTTCCCTGTATCTTTCTTTTGATTGATATAGATGGGTCTGGACAAATTGGACAGTCCTTACCTACTATGTCTACCGTACATCCTATATCATATATTGAATATAAAATAATATTAAAAAATGATATTACTGTACTTGTGGTTTTGAAAGGCATTTGAGAGTGTTTAGGTCTTCAGAAGTGTGACCCAATCGCCCAATTTCACAATCAGTGAGGCAGCGAATGCTCTCACTTGTTTCTGAGGCAAAGTGCTAAATTTAAACCAAGCAGTATAGTGCCCTGCATGGCAGTTTATGGCAATGTTTGGAGTGGTTGAAAATCAATGCAATGGCAATACATCTCTATACCAGACGCTGTCAATATTGTATAACAAAATATTAAAAAATTTAACACGGCTCTTAAAATACAGTTGGGTGGTGATGAGAATCCAGCAAGTTATTTTATGTGGCCTAATAAGGCACCTCTGATACTTGACACTTACACATTTTAATTTTACAGAATATTTTCAGTTATTTGTCTTCTCATTATTCTCCAATGTCATAGTCATCTGGTATAGGCACTATATCACATTAGTATAAATTTCCAGGTGACTATTCATTTTTCTGCATTCTGATTGGTCAAGATTCACTGTCTCTGAAGTGATAGTCACTGGTCAGTGACTATAACTTTTTTTTCAAAATGGCTGCTCGTTTTGCCGTAGTAACCGAGGAGGAAATTGCCAAAATTAAAGAAGATAGCATTCCGAAAAACCCAAACAAACTACAAAATATGGTTTAAAAATATTTCAAGGTAAAATAGTAAACTTTACGTGCTTTTATTTGGAAAAAAAACTGGCTTAGTCGCAACGCGACACAGAGCCGTGTCTGAAATTTAAATTTTGTAAACAAACTATTTATAGCGAAAACAAATTTATTTGAAAGTTGTGTGGATTATTGTTTGTAAACACCTGGAAATTTATACTAAAACAATTAGTCGCCTCAGGCTCGGTGATTACAAGCCTATATTCACTTCGCCTTCGGCTCAGTGAATATAGACTTGTAATCACCTCGCCTTCGGCGACTAATTGTTAAATAGTGCCACCACAATTTTTCAGCCTCAACTGCCTTATTCAACCATGATTTATTTGTTTTACTCTTTTGGTGTTAGCGACCATTGGCCACTAAACCTTCCTCACTGACCTCACCTATGGTAAAACTTCCTCGCGGGCAATGCCCGCGTGCCCGCAGCCTTTTTGCAACTCTGTCACGTTGGTTGCAAGCTCAACTTACAGTGGTTATAAATGTATTAACTCTAAAAACTGTTGATATCAGTTCACGTTTTTCTCCAGTGTTTCATCACATTTACCAGTGAGCGAAGTTTGAAATTATCATCTTGGATAATAGCAGTGATACTCAACCATTTTGAAGAGCTTGTAACCAACATGACGTCATAAATTAGCGGACATATTCACACATCAAACAAATTGAAATATCTCGGGAACAAACCATAAAAACAAGAAACTGAAAAATAAGTTACACTACAACTTAAAGAGTTCTTTCATTTTAGAAAATAAGAAATTTCATGTCATATGTACTTTAATTATTTTAGCGAAAATTTTTGCCGAGTGCAACCCAACTTCTTGCACAGGGTATTTCAATGTACGACAATTATATATTGCCATTGTTAATATTACAACTTAATTAAAATATTAAAAATTAAAAAGTATCCATATTAATAATACACACGAAAAAATTTCTCAATTCGGATTGGCTAAGAGCAGTGCAATTTTTTCGAAATACAGTGCCAAAAATGAAATACAGTGCAGATTTCTTAATTTTCTAAATTTTCTTAATTTTTTATTTTTCAAATTTAATTTCTTAATTCCTAAATATGACTTACACACGTGACTACATAAGTTTTTCATGTATATTATTAATAATCAAAAAACTCATTAATAATTCATGAGGAAATGTTTGTGATGTTACTCTGAGTGTATATCCACACAGAGCAAGCTTGAAATATGCCTGACCACGGGGGGGATGCCTTTGGAATACCAGCCCAATGCTCTGCCAACTGAGCTACGCGGTCAGGTCGGTTCGAGTATGCGATATTTCGGAACTGAGTCTAGTTCCTTCGATATCAATGCAATCTAATAATCATGATTTTTCTGTGTTGGTGTTATGTTCTCAGGTGAATATGACGTTTGTGATGTTACTCTGAGTGTATATCCACACCAGGCAAGCTTGAAAAATATGCCTGACCACGGTGGGAATCGAACCTACGACCTTTGGAATACCAGCCCAATGCTCTGCCACCGTGGTCAGGCATATTTTTCAACTGTGTGGATATACACTCAGTGGAGTAACATCACAAACATCATATTCACCTGAGTACGTAACACCAACACAGAAAAAGAAATGAATGTTTAATCAATGTTAAATCGGATAAATATTTGTCCTGATTTACATAAACTTCGGCTTTGATTTTCTCGGCTTTGACAATGTTTATTTTTAAAATTACTTCGCCAATGAACTCATAAGATGGGTCGTTTTTTAAGCACGTTAAAACATTCGCATCCGATCTTTATCTGATATACAAACTCTCGCCTTCGGCTCGAGTTAGTATATCAGATACAGATCGGCTGCTCATGTTTTAACTAGTACGTATAATAGTTTGGTTTCTCGTGCAATTTGAAAAAACATACACTCGTGAGTTTTTCAAAGACTTCAAATTGCACTCGTCCTTCGGACTCGTGCAATTTTGATAGTCTTTGAAAAACTCACTCGTGCATGTTTTCCAAACAGCACTGGAAACCATACTATTACCTATACAAATAGTCCATTATAAAAGTAGCTAAAAAATTTCCGCTGAATTAGTACTTAAAAAAGAATTAAAATCATCTTCGAAGTCATTAGCGTTCTTAAAGGGCCTTCTAGATCCCCTGACACAAATGTTCACCGATCTTAAAATCTCAAAAGATAAACGTGTTCTTAGCCATGAAATGACTGCGTGGGAGCCTATCAGCAAGATTTGGCATTCTATTCCCATACCACCGTTGGTACCAAGAACGAATGGCGTGAACGTCCCCATTTCGACATCTAGCAACAATTTGCGAATTCGCGTACATTGTCAATCAGGGCGCTTATATAATGGGCGGTGAAGCGCGCTATGAGCGCGCTGATCAATGTGTGATGAGGCAGAGGACTGGCACGAGTCAATGTACGACAATGTACGCTATTTCGCAAATTCGTGAATAAACTACATGTATGTATATAGACAGGACAGTTGATACAACGGAATTTTTGGTCTTTGCTTTGGATTTGAATTTTCGTATTAAATTTTGATTATGACAGTTAATTTATAAAGGTTGATTTTGGTTTTTGATATTTTATTTTTATTTATGATTTTTGATTCTATATCTCATATTATTATTATTATTATTCACTTTTGATTTAGATCTTCCAATTCTATTTTTGATTTCCGGTTTTAGATTTTAGACCTCTTGATTTTTCATTTCTATTTTCACTTTTGACTTTCATTTTAGTCATATTTTTAATTTGATTCTTGATTTCATTTCGTTAATAGATGAAGACAGCCCCTAAGTAAATGAAATAATACATTGACTATGAATGGTAAGTCATTCTCACATGCAGCTGAGAGCTAAGCTGCATTGCGAAGAACGGAGCTCAACCGGATCGACTTGGTCAATCTTTTCCATACTGGGCGGAATTTTGTGCTTGGAGCGGGATTTTAATTTGTCTTGCGATTTCTCGGGTGGAACTAATTAGAAAAGACAAAGAGAAATTCCGTTGTGCGCACAAAATTCCGCCTAGTGGAAAAAAGGCTAAAGGGGGCCTCTGACAGCCACCTTATGATTCTTTAGCAAGAAACCGAAATATCGGAGAAAATCCTCGTAGCCGCACCAAATTTGGGCATAAAAAGGTTAAAATTCACCCAAACGCTAAATTTATACATATTTGAAATCGCCAGAGTATGACGAGTTTAGATATGTTTGAATGAATTATAAATACATGCAGCATCAGTTTACATGCTATGACCGATTATCTGTTCTACTATTTCCCATATGTTATCATAATCATAAGCCATATATTAAATCGATCATATCTTTTAAAAATACTGCATGTATGAAATTCATAATCCACATTTACACTGTCTTATCATATTCCAGCAATTTCAAATATATATAAATTGTTAGCGTGTGTGTAAATTTTAACATTTTTATCCATGAATTTCATGAAAATTATATGAATAAATTAAATCCCTAAAATTGAGGATTTAATTTATGCAGGAACAAGCAATCGCGCCAATGTTCACATATCTTACTAATAGAAAAGTTTGTCATGCAGGTTACTACGAGAATCGAACCCACAATCTTAAAGGTGAAACGCGCTTGCTTTGCTAAAGCCTGGTTCACACTAGCAATTTTGTATTTCTGACGGATGCAAATGAGTGAACTCGCACACAAAAGTGTAGAGCCACTTTTCGGAAGTAAGTCTTTTGCATCTCATTCATTCGATCACATTTGCCAGAAATTTCTTATTTTCTTAAATGAAAGAACTCTTTAAGCTGTAGTGCAACTTATTTTTTAGTTTCTTGTTTTTATGGTTTGTTCCCAAGATATTTCAATTTGTTTGATATGTAAATGAGTGTGAATATGTCCGCTAATTTATGACGTCATGTTGGTTGCAAGCTCTTCAAAATGGTTGAATATGACTGCTATCATACAAGATGATAATTTCAAACTTCGCTCACTGGTAAATGTGATGAAACACTGGAGAAAAACGTGAACTGATATCAACAGTTTTTAGAGTTAATACATTTATAACCAGTGTAAGTTGAGCTTGCAACCAACATGACGTCATAAATTAGCGGACATATTCACACTCATTTACATATCAAACAAATTGAAATATCTCGGGAACAAACCATAAAAACAAGAAACTGAAAAATAAGTTACACTACAACTTAAAGAGTTCTTTCATTTAAGAAAATAAGAAATTTCATGTCATATGCACTTTAACAAACATTAGTGTTTGAAAAAAACTATAATAAATAACCTGTGACTAACCTTTGGTGATTTTCCAGTTGTGAACTAAGAATGCACTTGTAGTAGAACTCTTGCATAAAGAAAACCTTCTCAAGCTGCGTATCCGAAATAGTTTTTAGTGCTTGTTGTGCTCCAAGCTTTTGTAACATAATAAGTGCGTAAGACTTTAGATCTATATGCAAACTCCTGTGTCCTGCAGATACCGTGGACTTCATACACGTATGTGGCTCAAAACTGTTAAAATTCTCCTTCACAGACACCTTGCCGGAAAATGATGCTACCGATTTTAATGTGTCATTCTCTAAATTAGATTCTAGGGCACTTTCGTTCTCAGATTTCAACGTAATATCTTCCTTTTCGTTAGTTTTAACCCCATTTTCCTCGCAAAAACCTGTGGCTTCTTGATCATTATTTATGTCTGTTTCACATCTTGCAGAATAAATATCCTTCTTGACCTTTTCGCGGTCAGAACTTAGTTGAAAGCTGGCTAGGTATTCCAATCCAAACCTCCATTCCAATAGAGATTGTGGAAGCCAACCTGTGGACAAACAGAATAGAATGGCGTGTGTAAAACATTTAGTTTGAACTATTCAGAGAATAAAACACGTTCTCTGCATGGATATAGGAGTATTTTACGATTTCTGTTTTCAAACTGCATCCCGTGAAAACGCGAGAAAACTGGTAATATTTGAGAAATGTTTAGCATTTCAGGCGGCTTATGTAGATTACTCATTTTGATATACATATACAGCCAACTGAAAAAAGGTTGTCCTTTGCAAACAGTAAACTGTAAACCTTAAAGTTAAACTTCAAACTCTAAACGCTTAAAGCAGCTATTTGTGAATGAATTATTCTCGTAAGGAGATATTTTATTACCATATCTCTAAGAAATGGTCCCCATATATGATTTCTAAACTGATTAAATGATGCTGCCATTATGCTTTGCACGCTTAGAATTTACGGTTTGCAAAGCACAACCTTTTTTGAATTAGCTGGATAGTTTACGTGAACTTAGTTAGAATCCTTGCCTTGCCAAAACAGTGAGTATAACTGTATACTAGAAAATAAAGCTAAAACAATGTTGTTTTGAACGCTTTTCGTCGCAAATATGCGACATTGAAAAAATGCCTCTTAATCAAAACGTGATTTTAAAACACTCAATTTTCCGATTAGCATTCAATTTGTCATTTTAACAACATACCCCAAATCTGGACGCTATTCAACAACGAAATGTCACCGAGTTGAAGAGACAGTTTCAAAGCTTCTGTACGAAGCCCTAACATTACAAGGAGTTGAATACAACCTTGCCAATATCTAAAGAAAATATGCACAGCAGAATTTAACACCTTTAGCCTATATACATGATTACAAGGCAATCCATACTTTGGAATTTGCAATTGCATCACTAAATCCATAATATATCCATATTATTATAGAAATTGCAATTTTTATGAAAATTGGATTTCCATACTATATTTCTAACGACGATCCATACTATTAAAAGGATTTTGAA